CGTAAAACCCTCCCACCAGTTATCATTTCTCTCAGAGAGGAGCTGCTGAGAACCATGGTTGCTATCACAATAATAATAATAATAATAATAATAATAATAATAATAATAATAATAATAATAATAATAATAATAATAATAATAATAATAATAATAATAATGAAGAGTGCTATAGCCAAGTAGCACGACGTCTGCCCTGCGTATTCACGGGGTCAAAAGGAAAAAGTTATTTCGATGACAAGAAAGCAGTGTGTTCGTGGGAGAAAGGGGGGGGGGTGTTGTCACAGCAATCATAAACGCATAGTTCCGGACGCCTCGCCTTCTTAAGTAACACTGAGCCTCATAACAACGCACCAGCCTTTTGTCTTTATATTTTCTGCAAAACGAGTGCCGCTAGTTATACGTCACTGATGCATTAGCATATCGATCTCACCGTATGGGGTATATGCGGTGCATAAACTCCGAGAAACTGTCGAGCAGTGTCGTGCTCGTATTTCTATTGGTTGACCATGGACACGTCGTGGAAAGAAACCCCGAAAATGTATTCTGCCGACAACCTTCGTCTGTATACCGAATTGACCTGCTCGTCTGTATACCGAATTGACCTGGTCGTTGTTATGCCTGGGAGTCGACAGCGAACGACCGTGCCTCTGAAAAAGCCAATCTGTGTCAAGGCCAGCCCGCGAGTCCGCCTGACGCGAACAACTCAACGGCGTCAACAGGCGACGGCGCCTTTCTGGCGTGCACGTGCAGTGAGTCACCTCAGCAAGCGATCCCGTCGAGTAAACAACCGGCGTCTTCCTGTCTCGCGGCTGACGCAATGCCTAGCGACGTCACTCGTCCTTGGGTGCAGCCACCTGCAGCGCAGCCTCTCCAGATTCGATGAGAAAGAATGACGCGGCCCAGCGGCGACCCCATTGGAGGAGTCTGGCCTCACGACCAGCGGCGCTTCTGGTTGGACATTTTGTTATTCAAAAAATCTACCCGGTGCATATAAAAGAAGCCCTGCGGCGCGTCGCGAGCAGCAGATTTGTTGGAGAGCAGAGATGCGTGTCGCAGTTGAGCTATGTGTTAGCAGTCCTATGTGGGAGCAGACATGTGTGTCGCAGTTGAGCTATGAGTTAGCAGACCCATTTGAGAGCAGACCTATGTGTTAGAGAGGAGAGCTCGGCTCTTCGAGTCTCTGTCGGCCCCAGTGCCGCATTTGTAACGCCTCTGTATATATGCTGTACATAAACCTTGTTTAACTCACCGTCGTCTAGTCCGCTCGTCTATCAGCTCTGCGCAGAAGCAGTCGCGAGCTGAAAAACCTACGCTACCAAACGGCTGATGACCTTCCCGGCGGAGTTCGGAGCAGTGGGGCCTTCGGGACCGTGTTGGCGTCGCCGTCTTCGTAACAGTGGTTGGCAGCTGCGGGATCGGCCGGCGTCAGCGACATCGATGCGCTTCGCAACATCGTCTGTATACCGAATTGACCTGGTCGTCTGTATACCGGATTGACCTGGTTATCTCACGTCGCCTCCGCCGCGATCGTCTAGTGGCTAAGGTACTCGGCTGCTGACCCGCAGGTCGCGGGATTGAATCCCGGCTGTGGCAGCTGCAATTCAGATGGAGGCGTAAATGTTGTAGGCCCGTGTGCTCAGATTTGGGTGCACGTTAAAGAGCCTTAGGTGGTCGAACTTTCCGAGCCCTCCACTACGGCGTCTCTCGTAATCATATGGTGGTTTTGGGACGTTGAGCACCACATATCAATCAATCAAATCTCACGTCGTAAGCATGCCTAACTAACACCTTGGGCGTATGAAACGGGCTGTTCTCAATGTTTCTACGCCGTCACGGGGCATCAAATGCAGTGTTGTTCAGATTTGATCCCGATGACCAAGCAAAAAATAAATAAAAAAACGTGAGATGCATGCCGTGAACACTTTGACAAGCGCGTAATGACAACGCGCTGCGTACCGACATACCGTATATACCGGCCGCAAGGGCTCCTTAGGGGATTTTTTGTCGAAATTGACGCAATGGGCTAAGTGTAGCAGACCGCCTTATGTCGTCTTCGACTGTCTCCCAAGCAATCGTTACAGGTAACGCGAAACTGACCGGAACACGGTGCCACCCCTTTGGTCACAGCAAACCAATTTGTGATGTGTTATCCATATATAGAGCTGCATCTTGGGAATTGACAGCCTTTATTTTTTTTTCTTGGCCTTTTCCAGGACATGAATATACCGCTCATACCTATGTATCTTTTTTTTAGCTTCTGCTTCTACTTTTATTATATTTACGATTTCAGTAGATGGTTGATTAGAAAGCGATCAACTCGCATGCTACAGTTGCACGAATAATTTGGGACGTCTTTCCTACAGGGAATATTTTTTTTTTTGCCATTTTGGGGGGCTTAGTCAATCTCTGCAAACACAGCGAAAATTCACACAAGAACACCAAACGTGTCACCCGAAGCCCGTCAAAAATTTCGTGGCTTCAAAACTGGAACAAAGCATCTTTTCTTTTATATTTCTCATGTTCACTGTTCCGGTGTGCGTTACAGAACACACATCACGTCGAGAATTTTTCTGGTGATGTTTAACGTGCTGCTACTTTATAGATGACACCGTACGGAACAAGAAGCGCAAGGGCTATATCTGTGCCGGCACAACAAACTTCGATTAACATGCGTCTTTTGGCATCATAAAACACACGTTATATATATATATATATATATATGAGCAACCCAACTTTTCTCTCCTCTTAGAAACAAGCACTCATTTCCCGCAATGAGCTCTTCATTTACATCAAAGGACACCTACCTCCCGTCGTATAACGGCTGCGGACGAATGGCCTATGGGTTGGATTTAACTTAAGCTGACTGATGTATTCTCATACTTTCGTAAACCTACGCACGAAATGATGTTGGCAGTCTTATCAAGAGAAAAAGGTTATTCTGACCTTGAGCGGGGCTACAAATAAAGAGGAGTGTCGGGTGTTTGTTTTTGTTCAGCGACACATCTAGAGCGTCATCTAAGTGACAAGCAAGTCGTCATTGGGGCGCGGCTACTTAGTTCTTTTCCCTCTTACTTTCAGCCACTTTTTTACTCGTTCTCACCGTGCTGCCGCGACTTTAGGGACTCGGCTTCTGACAGAGTCGCCGATCGCCTTAATTCCAGCCGAAAAGCTTCTAATCGGACAGGCAGCACTTCGCTTTGATTGCTCTGGACAAAGCTCAGAACAACGGGAAGAAAAAAAAATAGAGATTAAGGCGCCGGCTCATTCGCGACGCATGCTGTGCGATCCACACAAAGCGCTTCATTATCGCCCGGAGCAAGGAACTGTAGGCATGTCCTCTTTTTTTTTTTTCTGCACCTAACTTTTTGCAGTAACTTAACTGGGACGCCCAACTTTCTTTTGACACTCTCCCGCTGCGTCTGAACGCTCCGCGAGCTGAATTTTATGTAGGAGTCACTTGGCCTCCAAACAAGTCCCTACGGGGGATCCCCGTCCTTCCGAATATTTACCCCGAAGGGGATCGGTAATTTGTAGCCGTGTTTACAGGATCTCGAGCAGTCCCCGATAAGCCAGTCGGTGAATAGAGGTCGGGTTTCAACAGGACGTGTTTTATGCGCGGATCGAGTTAAATACGTGTCGACACGCGACTGCTAACGCCACGCCAGCGACGCAGGCGCCGGCGATATAGGAGCTTCTGCGTGGTTTAAAAGTATTAGCCGCGTGAACAGTTTGCCTGAGCGTTGCCGTAAATTATTTGGGGTGGTTTTAACAAGGTTTCTTATCCAAGCCATGGTTGTGCTCATTATAAACTACAGGGCGTGTAAATAGGAACAGAAGAAAATACTCATGTTAGAATGAGTACTCACATATTATCTCCGCTCTTTCTTATTCAAAGACTGAACTGTTTCGCGGAAACTATCATTCACTGATACCGTTAATAGGAAACGTAGGTGATTTTATTGTGTACCAGCTACTCCTCTTTGTGTGACAAAGCTAACATGTATCACAAGAAGTGTGCTAGCTATATGACCCTTGAAGTCAATACCATAACTGTGGTCTGTACACCCTATATATATTTCCTCTTATGGTTGATTGCATAGTCTTCAAATATTTTAATATACCGTATTGGACAATCCTCAAACAAAAAAAAGCAAATAGGATACTCGCTAGAGTTCTGTTGGTCACAATACAAGACAGCAAATGTGCCAACGAAGGAAGAATCGGAAGAATTTTTACAGGACAGGCGCATATATGCCATGCACACAGGACAGCGACAGAGTAACGCATCAACGTGAAATCGAGGACCTACGTTAATAATATTATATTGTTCCTTTTTGAAGCGAATGCAATCAAATACAAACTGTATATGCATCTGGAGCCAGGTATTCCATTTTTCTGGTGCAAGAATTTAATCTGACTAGTTTCAGAAAAATTAGGTATTTAATTATGAGATTATTTTCATTGGTTACGGAAATTTGCGCAGAACAACGTATTGGTTGCCTCATCATCTTTGTTGAGATGTTTTACAACATCGATTAGGCTTACCTTGGAATTATGTTGCGAGAACTTTACACAGTTTCAGACAGTGAATCATAATTTGCACCTGAAAGGGATAATAACTGCTCGAGATAAGGAAAGACCGAATAAGTAGCTTCCGTATAGAGTCACGGCATTTCAATTCATCAATATTAAGAGGGCAAATGAAGACGAGTCTAAACATTATTCTGAAACCTCCTGTGAGAAGCGCAAGGAATTAATTCGCACAATTCCAGCACTGTATAATGCTGGCTAGCACATGTCTAAAACCTGCCTGCTATTGATCTGCATTCACTATGCTTTTGAATATTGATGACTAAATGTTTAGTGCTGTTAATGTCATTTAATGTTGGCTATTTAGGTAATCAAATGTATTCATGTGTAGCGCTCTTGCATTTATCTTGCATTTACCGCGGACTCGCCCCCTGAATCTTCCGACCAATATGCTTATAAGCCTCCCTCACTTGTCGTGTACTTCCTGGTAGAAGACTCGGAAGTGTAGCGCGTCTTCCTTTTCAGCAGCCGGGTATCTGTAGCGCCAGCGCACAAGCACGGCGGGGGGACTCCAGCGCACCAGCACGGCGCTCACGGGGGCCCACGGCTCCTCCTCCTCCGACTCCTCCGGCCGCACAGCGATCGTTGTTCTCTGCAGGGCGGCTGCGGGAAGAGGCAGAGAGAGGAGGACAAAGAATGAAGAACAACACTGCACTATGTACACGGTTGCTTATTGACTGGTAGTTACGTAACTCGAAGTAGACGAAGTAGCCTTAAACTAAACCGCGAAAAGCCAATTGGCGAGACAACCAAACGATTCTGACCAAATCAATCAATCAATCAATCAAACACTTGGCCAGTCAATCAATCAATCTAATGATCGATCGATCGATCTTGCGAATATTGTCCTCCTTATTTTTCACCGCGAGCTGAACGTGTCGCACTGACTTATCGCTGTGCATGTGTGTGGTGCCGAGAGTCGTTCGGGATCTATCAATTCAAGCTGAAGCTGTGCAGTGAGTGATGCAAACACGTCATTACTGTCGAACGAAGTTTCTTGCCTTTCGCCGCTCTCTAAAAGTAGAATTAACTCGCTCCTTACCGTTTCATCCACTATATTCACGTTATTAGGCTAGCCGTAGATGTAATTACTGGTAGGTATATCTGACTTCCGACTGAGGAACACTGTATTCTATTATATCTATTTTTCTAGAGTTTTAATTGCTACTACAAAACGCCAACAAAATAGGATACAGCCTTAAAGGTAGCGCCAGTCTATTCCTTAGCCGTTAGGAACTTTTCGCGTTTACTTTTCATGCACTCCAACCACCCGCGACGTATACGCTCAACGTAACAATCGCGTAGAAGTAGCCGATCAGTTCGCACAACAGGAACGCGCAACTCGTCAGTTGAGAGGAAACGTCAAAGTAGGAGCGCAACTGCTATTTTGACGTTTCCGCAATGTCGAAGTATTGCTTCGACATTGCGGACACTTTGAAGCCAACAATGTCGAAATTCAGCGAGGCGGGAAAAAGTTAGGAGAGCATAAACGCGTGAGAAGAAGGGTCATCCAAGGCGCTAAGCCGGTTTGAGCTCGCAAGGTCAGTTCGAAACCACTCGGGGTGTTTTTTTTTTTAAAGGTAAATCGACTTTCAAACAGTTAAGAAAAGGCCAGGCTAGCTATGAGTCATGTGAAGTTGGGAGCTGATAGGCGGCCAGGTGGTATTCTACAGTGCTAAGAAAGTGCAACATAACCCCCCCACTTAGAGCTAGCGCAGCAGCCTTGCATCCACTGACAAAGTTCGGTCCGAAAGCAGATGCCGGACCATTTCCATTCGTATATTTATTTAAAACGCGTGATGAAGGAATCGTTGAAAGAAAGAAAAAAAGAAAAAAATATGTCTTGGGGTGTACCCTCACTGGCGACTACATGTCAGTAATGCACTCTCTCACCAGAACAGGATTATACACCCTGGTGCAGTACTTGGCCACTATTTCCTTTATGAACGTACCAAATAACCCTTGGCCCTCACTCCCCAGCGGCTGCGAAGCTACTGTCCAAGGCAGCGGTCAGACCTGTGACGCAGCGGAGGGTGCCGATAATCTCTGGGTTCGGACAGACTGCCATTGGAATCTGAACTTGGCTACGTTCAACGCTTGAACACTATCTAATGAGGCTAGTCTATAGCTGTGCTATTCAATAAATTAGAAGGTGCTATTGATTTTATTGAAGGCAGACACCTTCAATAACATCAATTGTTAGCGGGCGCTTGTGTCCGTCTGTTCCTCCCTGCGTGTCCTGTCTATAGTTGCTCTACTCACGATGGTTTCTATACCAAAACACCCACTCGCCCAGCAGTAAACTCTTTTCAAGTTTATTACTTAACAGCACTTGACAACACCAAATTCTACTCACTGTACGAGCAGGCATGCATGGGTCAACGTAGAAATGACGTAAACCTAAATGTCTCTGCAAACTCTACCAAATTGGCTCGTGATTCAGGGCTAAACATTTCCGCTGTGTAAACAAGGCTATCGATCTAAACATACAAGGCTGGTAGGGCTAGAATAGGGAGCCGAGCGGCGACACGGCGAACGTGCCTGGTCACGCGGTCACGTTCGTCGAGCTGCATAGCATTTTCGCGAGAGGGCAGAGACGCAGCTGGAAAAGAGAACAACTCAGTCCAAGTGTACATCAACTGTCGTATTCTCGACCTTCTGTATACGGTTCGAAAAGAAATCAGGCGAGCATATACATTGCGATGCGGAATACGCGCTGGAAAACAGGCGTGCTGCCGCAATGCAGTGAATGACCATTCGGGTGAAAGCGGCGGATGGAGGCGCGCTATATATCGCACTACGTGCGCAGGATGCGTATAGGAAACACACGGGTGGACCCTCCGCCGCGTAGGTATATATAGTGTGTTTAGAATACTATTGGACGCTGTTCTCTCGGTGACAGGCTTGACGGTGCGGGAGGACCACGTACCATGGAGTCACGAATGCGGGAATGCATGCTCGGTTCGTGCCGCTGACTGCATCAAACACGGACTAAGGTATACTTTCTTACTTGGAAAAAAAAGTAAAAGTAAATATAGGAAAATGACGAAGTTTGGGCACTTTTTTCTCTCGTACTAAGGATTTTCAGGGTGAAATAGAGGAAACACCATAAAATTACGGCGGTGTAAGATGGTTCAATTGGTCATCTAAAGATGGTGGCAGCTCTACATTTTTTTGTCTAGTTGTTTCATGCTGAGATCTAGACTTGTCACGCAAACAGAAAGAAGGAAAGAGGGAGGCGGGATAGAACTATCACTACCAAATGTCTATTAGGGTTGGAGAAGCCAAATATAAGCACACATCATGGGCGTAGGCACACATTTGTTTCTAGGGGATGGGTGGGTGCATTAGCTTGATTTCGGGGGGGGGGGCACCTTTTTGAAGTATTCACTGTTTGCTCTGTATACCATGGTGGAAAAAATTCGGCGGGGGGGGGGGGGGACGGGCCAAGTTACTGTAATTTACTGTATAGTTACTGTATATGCAACCTTGAAAGGTAGCATATACAGTTACTCTAGACATGCATATATCGTTGCTCCACAACAATACGCACAAAACCATGAATCTCTTAATATCAGTATCACGTGTGTAACAAATGCAACAAAATATTTTGACTTCTCGAACTCACAAGCATGGAGGATGCTTTAGCTGCGCGATCAAGGCTTGGAAAGCTCTATGCTGTTTGCCTTCTTCCTTCTTTTAGGGGCGAAGCTCCTTAGGGCGTGGGCTGTGCGTCCCCTGTAGCCTGTATGTAGCCACCTCTAGTTTAGTTCTTGCAGTGTTCACTAGATGGCGGTACCGTCCCCTGTATGTAGCCACCTCTAGTTTAGTTCTTGCAGTGTTCACTAGATGGCGGTACCGTCTCCTGTATGTAGCCACCTCTCGTTTAGTTCTTGTAGTGTTTACTAGATGGTGGTACTTGTAGCTGATGATGAAAAGATGCAATATGTTATAAACTAGAAAGCGGTACTTGCAGTTGATGAAAGACGCGAGATCTTATAAAATAGGAATGATGTCACATATGGCGCGTGTCATTGGTTGAAGGCAATCGTTCGATTTAGTGCGGCGACGTACGCTAGGGGGAGCGTTGTAATAAAATCGAGTGGGCAAAATGTACAGAGGATTCATGGTTTACCAGGTTTACCTCCGGAGCTTCGCCCACTCATCATCATTCACTTCGTGGATATAGCGGAATTTTTTTTTTGTCATGGTTTTTCCCGGTTTAGCTCTGCCAGTGACGCGTGTCAATTAGTGGCCTTAACGTGGGAGCTCCTCGGGAGACGTAATGTTTAGCCACCGCGGTTTCCGAGCCCCGCGGAAACGTTTGGTAATCGAAACTGCGTGGGAACAGCGCAAAAAAAAAAAAAAACTGGACTAAGTATAGAGCTAACATGCAAGACGGGCGCTGTATGTCACCTCTTAGAGCCGTTTTTTTTTTTTTACGCCGTTTCCTCGCATCATCATGTACCAACTGGACTTCCGAGGAACCCTTTTGGTGATTGAAAGGTATAAGTTGAAGCGTGTTTCATTCGAACAGCCAGTATAGATAGTTGCCTAGGGGATCGGCGTAAGGGCGCGAAAAGCTTGACAGAGCGCCGATGACCCGCTTACAGGCAAAGCAAGTGTAGCATATGTGGGTTTCACAAGATAGGAAACTTCTTTGAATTTATTTAGCATGAATCAACGACAATACCTTCACTGAATTTCACAATGGGACAAAAGATTCGTATACAATGAACGAATTTTGCCGATCACACTCTGTCTCACTCATCACACTTGCTGTCACGCTCTCGCTGTCCTATGGTTTTAAGATAAACAAAAGTACTTATTTGAGGCGCTTACTGTCCCTGCGAAAAAACGCTCGGGTGACAAAGAGGTAGCAGCGTGTGCATTAATTTCGACCATTTTTGCACTCTTAATGCCTTTCCAAAGCACGACTTATACTATAACGCAATGATTCTCAACGAGAGGGACGTGTCTGACCTAATTACTCTTGCACGTGGGATCATAAAGCTTTAATGAAGGATGCTATTGAAACTGGGGCATAATATGTTTATCGCTGTGTCACATATACTTGCGTAAAAAAGAAGGCACATACTGTGTGTCCGAAACGCGGAATTTAATTAGACACATCCTCCTTTGCATATTTTGAGAAATGTTACATGTATTTTCATTGATAAACGCTTGTGGAAGAGCAAATAGACGTTGGCGCGCAGAAAATGAATTAGGGGACGCTTAATTTTTTCCTTTAAGTGGTGAAAGCGGTTTTGATATTCTTGAACGCACGCACGTACACACCCGCACTATAACTTTCCCAATCGGTGCCCCGCCGCGGTGGTCTAGTGGGGTAAGATACTCGGCTGCTAAACCTCAGGTCGCGGGGTCGAATCCCGGCTGCGGTGGCTGCATTTTCGATTGAGGCGGAAGTGCTGTAAGCCCGTGTGCTTAGATTTGGGCTCGCGTTAAAGAACCCCAGGTGGTCCCAATTTCCGGAGCCCTCAACTACGGCGTCTCTCATAAATCATATGGTGGTTTTGGGACGTTAAACCCCCCCGATTCAGCATTATCAGTTCCCAATTGGTAGCTTGCCTTCGCTTCTCAGTGTATACCTAACCCATGGCTACTGCGCTACCAGAAAAGCGCATGTGCACCCCCCCCCCCCCCCCCCCCCCCCTCCCGAGGGCTATTTTTATTTCCATCTACATCGAGTATTCTTTCACGGCCAACGCTGCTTCTTCGCCCGCGACCAAAGACGCCGCCGTCGTTCTGCCGCTATCGTAATTTCCGCAAAACGAGCTTTTCGACGCGATCGCGTTGAAATGAATGGTACGCCACTCTCGCTTCCTAGGTCGGCGTAGCGAGTGTGGACACAGCTCGTCGTCAGGCTTCTTTTATAAATTTTAATGGTATCGCCGAGAAGGCGATCATCTTCATCAAACGTGACTGCATTCTAGTGTCAATGAGTAATGCGATATAGAGAGTACACATTGCTGCTCGTAGTCCGCCGCGGTGGAGCAGTGGTTAAGGGGCTCGGCAGCTGACCAGAAGGTCGCGGGTTCGATTCCGGCATTTCGACGCAAGCAAAATGGTTGAGGCCCGTGTGCTGTGCAGTGTCGGCGCACGTTAAAGAACACTGCGTGGTCGAAATTCCCGGAGCCCGGCACTGCGGCGTCCCTCATTATCATTTCGTGCTTCTGGGACGTTAAAACCCAGGTATTATTATTATTATTATTATTATTATTATTATTATTATTATTATTATTATTATTATTATTATTATTATTATTACAACATATATTAAGACCAAATACGAAATGCCCGTTCTCTTACAAGATAACAACAACGGAGCGAACATATCCTGACTTTAAAAATGCTGGCCACGTCGCCCCGCATGCTGACCTTTTTTTCCAGCGCTTTCATGCCAGTTTTTTTTTTCATTTAAATATCTCTGTCAACACCAAGTGCTAATAGCATTGTTTACTTCCGTCATTTTCCCCTCTCCATCTTGAAAACTTGCGCAAGATGGAGAGAGGAAAATGCCGGAAAGCATGCCGTAGCGTCAGCGAGGAATAACGAAGATATACGATAAAAATCATTCGTCTCAACTGTAAGCATACTAGGAGATTTCATGCGTTCTGGTGAACGGTGCACTGCGATCATTTTACTTCACTCTGCTAGATTCTCGTCTGATAAAGCTACGCCTATGATTTCTCGTAATATCGCACGCCACTTGGTCTTTTCTTACTATGCTGTTCTCCAGGTCTCTGCCCCACATGTTAGAACTGACAAACCGGAATGGTCATATACCTCCAGTCCGTTAGCGAGGTTATAGGTTTATTTTTCATTGCTTGCCGTCAGCCAGAACAGTGACACGGCGCACGTCGGTTTCGTCATGACTCAGGAAAGCATCACGAATTCTCACTGTCATCGCTTCTGCCCGGTGACATCTCTGGTGATCCCGTGTTTGGTGAAGTTGCATACGTTTTCTGACAGGCGGAGGCTTCCTATTTTCTATTTGTGTCCGACGCTGAAACGCATTCCTACTCAGCAAGAAGTAAACTATTGTGTAAATGGAGAAGTAATGTTATCGTACGAAGATTCACACCGAAGTTTCGTGGACCCTAATATCTTCGGAGGCGAGTGCCAGCGAATCGGTGTCGAACTAGCTGTCAACCTTCGGAAATGGCCTTCGTCTAAACGGTCGTGCAGCGCATATTGCTCGGGCCTTGCCTGACAGCAGAGGCGCGTGATAAATATAGTGAGTGCATCTGTTGGCCTCATGATTTGTGTTGACGATAGAATGGTATCACACTAACGTGAGCGCATGGCGCTATATTGGCGGGGGCCAAACATTATGTCGTGTCGGTCAGCATAT